GGGGACCCCGCCTGCAAGTTCCAAAGTCACCGGATGACAGCAAAGCGTGAGACCTGTTGCTCATGTCAGCCCTTACACGACGGTGGCGTTCCCTTGCTGTCTCACGGTTTTTCCAAGATTTCTCACAGGGAAAATCAATAAGCTTATGGAACTGCTTTTCATCGCATCGCATGACCGAAGTCCCTGGCGGGGTTTCCCCTGACCTACGTCCCTGCGCGCCCCTTCTCTTGGTCCTGCTACCACAAAGTGGTCATTTTGTACTCCTGCTATCTCAGTAACTCGGACGTTCTATGGAAAATGACGTGACATTACATTTACATGCTGCCAATAAAGAACATTTAGTGTGGGAATTATTTTCAGCTAGAGTTCAGTTTTATTTGAGGTCGGTTCGATACTGTGAGAATGAATAACGGTGCATATTAGTAATAATAAAATGATGATGGATTACTTTTAAATGATTTCACTTCCATTACCCCGCCCACATATCCTACAGGAGCATTAGCCTCTATTTCACAAACTGAAGGTCTTGAGGAGAGAGGTTCAGTAAGTCGAGAATGCTCAGCAGATCACCAAACTTCAGATCTAGGGTTGAAACTCTGTCTTAGTGAGACCATGATGCTGCTTTAAATATTGCTTAAGGCAAGGGAGAAAGTGAGATAATAATTCAAAATGGATGAGTCATTATGGTATTATTAATGTGTTGGTGTGAGTCTCCAGAATATTAAACATTTACACTTTATTATGTTATATTTTTCTATAGAAAGATCATTCATCCTGCCTATTAATCATCCCTACAGAAGACTATTTGAACACAAAATGTAAAAACAAAGAATTAAAGGAAAATGCAAAAGAATGGCCAACTACTTTTTGTCAGGAGTATTCACATTGCCAATATTGAAAGATCTGGGACTTGAATCTATTAATCCACCACATAAATTAAACTTTGGTTTAAATAAATGTTTCGAAGCACATAGAACTATAGCTAAAATGACTATTGTATGAACCCATGCTTATAATTTAAAAAGGAACTCTATCTCTCAAAACTTATATGACTCTTTTTCTGATTCTTAGAGATAGTTCAGTGACTTTTATACTATTTATACTAGCATGTAATTCTATTCCAATAGACCATGGCCCCTCTACAGTGTACCAATTTCTTTCACACCTATGTGTAATTCCATTTATAATTGTGAGTTCAGAAAAGAAAGAACATTTATAATATAATCTCAGTATCATTGGTCTCTTAAATACAAGTTTGTTGCAATGAAAAATCACACAGATGAGAAAATGTGTACACTAAAAACATATACCATTTACCCCAATCAAAAGCTTTTGCAGCCAGATGTGGTGGTGCACGCCTGTGATCCCAGCACTTGGAGGATGAGGCAGGAGGATTGCTATAAGTTCAAGACCAGCCTGAGCTACATAGTGAGTTCCACGGCCGAAGGATTTAGCTCAGTGGTTCCACTGCCTGTCTTGCAAGAACAGGGCCCTGAGTTTGATCCCCAGTACCAAAAAAAGAACAAAAAAAGAAACAAGTTGTGGTTAAATATATATTCAAATTTTCCATGATGAATGTAGTTATTATTTGTTGTAAACATACTAAGAAAAAAGAAAACTATTGTAAATCCTTTCACATTATTTTACTATTTCCTGCTACACTTTCTCTACATGTTCTGTTATATGACATTAATGCCACTCCTTTATGTGTCTGACACTATGAATATTCTACTAGAAATCATCATTGTTGAAATAGTTCAAACTAAGAAATTGCTATGAGTAATAATGATAGCAACATTTATTATAAAACATTACGTGCATTTTTCTTTATCAGTTAGGAGTTATGCACATAATTCAAATTTGGTAAAATTCACCAAGTAATCTGGAATATAAATTACTTAAAATCTCAATTGTGCTGTTTCAAAGCATGAAAGCACAAGCCCTTAATTAGAATAGACCTCTAAAGTGATAACGCTGCTATGAGAAAGTAGGAATTAGAATTCAGGTCTCCTATTCCACAGCTCAGCTTCCTTCTTGAGCTGCCAGAGGGAACCTCCTGGCACTGTGAACCATTTAAAAAGTAAATATGACGTATGAAATATTTCCAGTAGAAAAATTGCCAAGCCTTCACATCCACTGCTTTGGGTGAGGGGTCTTCCCTGAGAGGGTCTGATGATGCAGTTAAACCACAGATTTCCATCCCACGTCTCTGCATTCCACTCTTTAGAGTGTCATATATATTCCATTTATTTCAATTTAGTTCCAGCAGATTAGATGTGACTCAGTCACAGTACGATTATGGATGACAATGTCTCTGCATATTTAAGAGAAACTTGAACAATATAAATCTGTTACACTCTTCCCCATGTTAAGCAGTGAAATCTTGACATCCTCTTAATGCCACAAAAAATTCTTCACCAATACTTTAAGGCAATTTGTCTGGCTTGATATCATGTTTTGAATATTTCTTTGCAGTTCTTGCGGATGCATCTGGGTTTCCATGACAATTCCTGTTAACTGCTGCAAAGATGGAGTCTACGCAGTTTAAAATATCCTGCATCTACCCCTAATCTGAGTTCTACCATACTGAATTGTTTTTCCTTCTTTTAATATGAAATGCCTCAAATTCCTCTGCTTTATTCTTTACATGTAGTTGTCTGCATGAATTATTGCTGAATTCGTTGCCTGCCTCCTAGTAAATACCTTCCCCAATTTTAAAGTGTGATGTCTCCCACTTTGTGATGTGTTCTTTAACCATTAAAATCCCAATTATGGGATTGTTCCTTTATGGCTTCAAAATATCTCATATCGATAATATCACTCTATTCATGGTATTGTTAGTGTGAGTACATATATATATATATAATATCACTGTATTCACTGTATTATACGTATAATACATACATTTATGTACATTTGGTACATTTCTATCCCTACTGACCAACTAGATCCTGTACTTTTTGTATTTTTAGTATTGATTTAATTAATTTGTCAACTATTTGAACTTAGGCACTTTCTTATCCGTTCTGGCATTTCCAAGTGCCTAGTGTAGAGACTGGCATAAATGAGATGCTAAATAAAACTTTCACAAATGAAGCTGAGTCAAATCGGAAAAATCTATTTTAATATTCTAGAAATCATGACAATGCTTTACATATAGCTCCAAAAGCTACATTGCTTCCGGTTCATATAAACCAATATTATCTTCATAGGTCCATGGTACTGAGGAATTTGTTCCTCAGAGACAGTAGGCAAAGAAAAACAGGACATTTCCTCAGCTTCCTGTTAGAGTGGAAGCTTCCAATGAAGAAGGATGGTGCACAAAAGGCTAGGGCAACTGCTACCCTCTACAAGCCCTGCCATTTCAGAGCACAGGCATGACCCGAGAAAATGTGGTTTCCACTTTTGGCTCTGTACACGGGCTGGGAGTTCTGCCTTTGGGAGAGACCAGCCATAGGATAAGAGCTGTGTGATTTGTCCTAAAAGGGTTGACTCCAATTACAAAAGAAAGTAGAGAATCCCTTGTGTAAAGATGTGATTATTATTAATATTAATTTCAAGGTAACAGGCATGAGAGACAGCCTGTGGCATCACATTTTGGGGTACATTGCATGCATCGTGGAGGTTATGACTTCAAGGACTATATCCAGTCCTGGACCCCCTCGCCCTGTGACACTCCTCAGCTCCACTTCTCAGCTGTCAGGAAAGTGAGCCGTTTTGCTGCGCTGTGACTTTCTCACATGATGCTTCTATCTTGGAACCAATTTACCACCAACTGTATCCTTCCAAACTCTAAACTAAAGTCAGCCCTCTTCCTTTACACAGGGCTTTCAGGTATTTATTCCAAGCTATGGAAAAAATTGACCAATAGAAAGGCCATTGTCAAACTCGTGAAGTTCTTGGTGAACATTAACTGTGATCAGGTGAGTATAGCCACAATACAAGGAAAACTGCAGCGTAGCCAATAATCTAACAGAATCAGGGCAAATTTTCTCAGCTTTCTGGAAGTCTGTGTTCACGGCCAAAGCTGGACTCAAAAGCCTGATCAGAGCAGGATCCCTATGCCAATCATCCCTGGCTGGGTGTGACACAACTAACATCAAGTCTGACGGTGTCTGCAGCCTCAAGGCCACAACAGTGAACAGCTTACATCCACCCAGGATCGGCCTCCAGATAGGAAAGCTAAACATGCAGATGAGGGAAAATATGTACTATATTCAGAAACATCACTGAAAGTGCAACACATTTCTCAGAGTAAATTCAGACAAGTCTCTAAACAAATAACAAACCACAGTAACAAGCACCAGCAACCACTGGGCTAGGGTGTGTTTTGAGAGGTGCTGGCATGTATTATCTGAAAAAATGTCCAATTTGTGATGAAAAACATGATGGATATGAAGACACAGGTGAATATGATCAACATACAGGAATAAAGCAAGCAAGAGAAACTGATTCTGAAAGGATGCAGGTCATGGATTTAGCCAACAGAAGCATCAAAGTAGCTCTTACAAGTAAGTTCCAAGGTCTTTAAAAACAATTTTTTAATAACTAGGGAAAGACATGATGATAATTTCTTATTGCAACAAAACATGAGTAAAGTGTAGGTACTATTACTGGGAGTCTGTACCTGCAGAATTTAACAGTTGAAATGAAAACTGCGCTAGGGGACTTGGTGACACAGACACACGCAACAATACAGAAACAATATGGAAACTGTTGTGCAAAGTGACAGACAAGTCATCAATGCCCTCCAGAGTATGTGTCTGTTCTTAGGAAATGTCCAAATTAGGCAGGTATGTTTGGAGGGAGAAAGTACAAGAGTAGCAGCCCAACACTTTGTCGGGACTGTTAAGGCCTTGACTGTCTTCTAGAAATTCACATGTTCGGTTCTGACTCCCTGGGCCTTAGAAGAGGACCTTACTCTGTAAAGGAGATGATGTGGTATCCTAGATGGGATCTTGGCATAGAAAATGTCATTAGTTAAGATTTAAGAGGTGGAGCGGGCAGCCTCGGCGCGGACGGGAAGAGGCTGAGAGGCTGAGTGGAGTCGGACTCTCGCGCTCGGGATTTTCTCGAGCTGCCTGCCTACCTGCCTGTCTGCGATCACCCGGCGGCGTGCGCGTGAGCTCCCGGCGTGCGCGACAACAGACCCAGGAAGGACCCAAGGACCCCAGAGGGGGTTTTTTTCAGCTGCCTGCCTACCTGCCTGTCTGCGATCACCCGGCGGCGTGCGCGTGAGCTCCCGGCCTGCGCGACAACAGACCCAGGAAGGAAGGTAGCCGCGCGGGCGCCCTTGAAACACCCACACGACCCCCCCCCCCGTTCTCAAAACTCCTGATCGGGCCAGTCCTTAGACCAACTCTGCAGAGGCATAGGTTCCCATGAAGGGTAGTTTTCTGAGCTCCGAACTTTGATCATCTTTAAAGAAAGGGCAGGGGAAACCTGTAATAGAACGGAGTGGAGTTCAACCCTGAGGGTAAGGAAACTAAAGTTAGGCTTTGTAGATTGTGTTCAGTCTCAGTCGTGAGGAACAGCCATTGGCTAGCTATAACCAGGGGATTGGGTTCCGCATATGACTGTGCATGTGGTATAATATGAGATCAGAGATAGCCTGAAAGAGGACCTTCAAATTCTTTTTCTTTCCCTCTCTCTTGTCTCTTTTTTCCTCTTTCCACCCTAAAATTTCTTTCTTTTTTCTGTCCTGTCTCTCCAACTCAGTCTCTTGCTCCACCATAGTGTCCCTCATCTCCCTTTTTATTCCAGTTCCTGAAGAACTCAGACTTCTTTTTTTATTTTTTGTTTTTAGGACGGGTTTCTCTTTATGTTCTTTTCTCCAGTCATTTTACCTCACTCATGGCTCTGTACCTTCAAGGGAAGGCAAGCGCCTGTTACTGTTAAGGGGATATATTCCTGTCCTTATTCCTGCACTCTCTCTATCCCCCCTGAACTTAATAGCTTTGTAAAGATAGTAAGGTAATTCTACAACCTCTGGATTCACTTCAAACCTGCTCTAATTCTTTCACTTATCTAATCCTCTTGTTCTAAGTCGAACCCCCCATCCTAAATGGTAAAGATGCCATATTGAAAAGAATATTCACTGCAAACATACTATGAGCTGCTTCTTGAAATTAATCTAATTCACATGAGTTAAAGGTGATACATTAATGACTACCATAAGTGGTCAGTTGGCAAGCTGTGCCTGATCCTATTGGGCTGCTGAATGTATCAATTGGGACAAAGAGTGGTGATTGATTTAAAGAGTTGTTTTCTCTGATATTATGAAAACGAGAATGTCTATGAGTCATTAGAAACTCAAAAGCTAAAACGCAACTATATTAGGAAGATTTAAGTAATACCCAGAAATTAAAGAAGGACAACCCAACAATAAAAATAAAAATGAGAAAACACTTAAGCAAGACACAAAAACAAATATCCAGTTCACCAATAGCAAATAGTAGGACAAATGAGGATGAAAAGTCTGATAGTGAACCAACAGGACTCCCTGGACCCATAGCACAGGAGGTAACAAAATTGATCAATCAGGCTCTAGAAAAATTCAAATCAGAAATAATTTCCCAGCTAGCCAGAGAGATGATGAGCAAAATAGAAGTCATGATTCGAGACTCTAGAGCAGAAACTGAGAAAAAAATAGATGAGCTCAAGACTGTGATAGAAGCCATGAAGACTCAGCATAAGAAAGACATGGAAACAATGAATGCCCAACAGAGGAAAGAAATGGAATCCATAAAACAGATTCAAACAGATATCCAGGAGATTAAAAACTCTATTGAAAGTGTACGAAACAGAATAAAAGATTGCGAAGATAGAATTTCAGATATAGAAGATAGGATAGCAGTCAGTGACCGTGAAAAAAGAGGTCTATTAAAAACAGTAAGGGATCATGAGAAATCAATCCAACAACTCCTAGACGATACAAAGAAAAATAACATAAGACTGATAGGAATTCATGAAAAAACAGGAGAAAACACAAATGATATAAAAAAGCTCTTCACAGAATTAATGACAGAAAACTTCCCAAACAGAAGGGAAGAATTAGACATACAGATAAGTGAGGCATATAGAACCCCAACTAGCCACGATCAAAAAAAATCTACACCTAGACATATAATAATCAAGATTCCAGAAATCCAACAGAAAAACAAAATACTACAAGCAGTAAGAGAAAAGAAACAAATCACATGCAAAGGGAAGCCCATTAGAATCACAGCAGACTTTTCAACACAAACCCTTAGGTCAAGGAGAGCCTGGAGTGAGGTATTCCAAGTCCTAAAAGAAAAGAATCTCCAACCTAGACTTTTGTATCCTGCAAAACTCTCTTTCAAAATAGATGGGGAAATAAAATACTTCCACGACAAAGAGCACCTGAGAAATTTCATGAACACCAAACCAGCACTGCAAGGAATTCTAAACAATATCCTAGAAAAGGACAACGAAATTCACAATAACATGAGGCCCAACAGACCAAATCAAATAGGCAAGGCAAGAAACTAAAAGGAGATGGGAGAAAAAGTAAAAAGAGTCAACAAATGGACAAAAACATGACAAGAATAAGTCAAAATATATCAGTTGTAACCATCAATGTTAATGGCCTCAATTCACCAATCAAGAGAAACAGATTGGCAGAATGGATTAAGAAGCAAAATCCAACAATATGTTGTATACAAGAAACACACCTAGTGCAAAAGGAAGTCCATAGACTGAAAGTGAAAGGATGGAAAACAATTCTCCATGCGTCAGGAGTCCAGAAAAAAGCAGGGGTAGCAATCTTATTCTCAGATAAAGTAAATTTCAAACCAAAACTCATTAAGAGAGACAAAGAAGGACACTACATCCTTGTAAAGGGAACAATTCAAGAGGAAGAGCTGACAATCATAAACATATATGCACCAAATATAAATGCCCCCAACTATATAAAACAAATATTAAGTAACATGAAAAACCAAATAAGCACTAATACAATTGTAGTGGGGGATTTAAATACCCCACTATCACAAATTGACAGATCTACTAGGCAGAAAATCAACAATGAAATAATAGAACTGAACCAAGCTTTGGAACACATGGACTTAATAGATGTTTATAGAGTATTCCACCCCCAAAAACCAGAATATACATTCTTTTCGGCTGCACATGGATCATTCTCCAAAATAGACCACATACTGGCTCACAAAACAGGTCTAAATAAATGCAAAAAAATTGAAGTCATCCCCTGTTTATTATCAGATCATAGTGCAATCAAACTAGACATCAATAGCACAAGAAACTATAGAAACTTCACAAGCACATGGAAACTGAACAACACTCTCCTAAACAATCAATGGATTACAGAGGAAATTAAAGAAGAAATTAGACAGTTTTTACAAATAAATGAGAATGCCAATACAACATACAGGAATCTTTGGGACACAATGAAAGCAGTTCTACGTGGAAAATTCATAACATTGAATGCCCACACTAGGAAAACAGAGCGGGCTCAAATAAACAACTTAACGATGAAACTTAGACTCCTAGAAAAACAAGAGCAAGAAAAACCCAAAGCTCGAACAAGAGAGGAAATTATAAAGATCCGAGCAGAAATCAATGCAATTGAAATTAAGAAAACGATACAAAAAATAAATGAAACAAAGAGCTGGTTTTTTGAAAGAATAAATAAAATTGACAAACCCTTAGCTAATCTTATCAAAAAAAGGAAAGAAAAGGCTCAGATCCATGCAATTAGGAATGAAAAAGGCGAAGTCACAACAGATCCGAAAGAAATCCAGAGGATCATGAACACCTACTTTGAGAACCTGTACTCTAATAAAATGGAAAACACAGAAGAAATGGACAGATTTCTAGATACTTATGAATTACCAAAGTTGAACGAAGAAGATAAAAACATTTTAAACACCCCAATCACAATCAGTGAAATTGAAAATGTAATTAAAAACTTACCAACAAAGAAAAGCCCAGGCCCTGATGGATTCACTGCTGAATTTTACAAGACATTTAGAGAAGAACTACTACCATTACTCTTCAAACTTTTCAATGAAATTGAAAGAGAAGCTATACTTCCAAATTCATTCCTGGAAGCAAGTATCACTCTGATTCCCAAACCAGAGAAAGATACAACCAAAAAGGAGAACTACAGACCAATCTCCTTAATGAATATAGATGCAAAAATCCTTAATAAGATACTAGCAAACAGAATACAGAGGATTATTAAGAAGATCATCCATCATGACCAAGTCGGATTTATTCCAGAGATGCAAGGGTGGTTCAACATACGAAAGTCAGTGAATGTAATACATTATATTAACAAAGTCAAGGACAAAAACCATATGATCCTCTCAATAGATGCAGAAAAAGCATTTGATAAAATTCAACACCCATTCATGATAAAAACCCTGCAAAAAATTGGAATAGATGGTCTATACCTCAATTTAATAAAGGCTATTTATGAAAAACCATCAGCCAACATCATATTGAATGGCCAAAAACTGAAAACCTTCATGTTAAAATCAGGAACAAGACAAGGATGCCCACTATCGCCACTTCTCTTCAATATAGTTCTGGAAACATTAGCCACAGCAATTAGACAAGAGAAAGAAATTAAAGCAATAAAGATAGGAAAGGAAGAAGTTAAACTATCATTATTTGCTGATGATATGATACTCTACATTGAAGATCCAAAAAACTCCACCAAAAAACTTCTAGACTTAATTGACAGATTCAGTAAAGTATCTGGATACAAGGTGAATACCCAAAAATCAATAGCCTTTCTATACACAAATAACAGACAGACAGAAAGAGAAATAAGGGAAAAAATTCCTTTTACAATAGCATCCAAAAAAATGAAGTATCTAGGAATCAATCTAACAAAAGAAACAAAAGATCTCTACACTGAAAACTACAGCACTCTGAAAAAAGAAATCGAAGAGGATATAAAAAAATGGAAAGATATCCCCTGCTCCTGGGTAGGAAGAATCAACATAGTGAAAATGGCCATACTACCGAAACTGCTATATACATTCAATGCAATGCCAATTGAAATTCCAACACTATATTTCACAGAACTAGAAAAAAGAATCCAAAAATTCATTTGGAACCACAAGAGACCTAGAATAGCAAAAGCCATTATAGGCAACAGTCACATGGCACCAGGTGTAACAATTCCCAATTTGAAACTATACTACAAAGCCACTGTGATAAAATCAGCATGGTACTGGCAAAGAAATAGGCCTGAGGATCAATGGAACAGACTGGAAGACACAAAAACAAATGCAGATGTACTCAGCTACCTCATCTTCGACAAAGGAGCTCACCATCCTCAGTGGAGGAAAGATAGCCTCTTTAATAAATGGTGTTGGAAAAACTGGATATCAACCTGTCACAGATTAAAATTAGACCCTTATCTTTCGCCATGCACTAAATTAAAATCCAAATGGATTAAAGATCTAAATATTAAAACAGAAACATTAAACTTGCTGGAAAGTAAGTTAGGCAGAACTCTGGAAGACATTGGTATAGGAAAAGACTTTATGAACAAATCCTCAGTAGCACGGGAACTAGCAGAAAGAATCAACAACTGGGATCTCATCTTACTAAAAAGCTTCTGTACTTCAAAAGAAACCATTAGCAGAACTAAGAGACAATCTACAATGTGGGAAAAAATTTTTACCAGCTGTACCTCAGACAAAGGACTATTATCAAGGATATATAAAGAACTCAAAACAATCAGTCCCCCCAAATATAAAGACCCGATCCAAAAATGGGCATCCGAAATGAACAGACATTTCTCATACAAAGAAGTGAAAGCAGCAAGAAAATATATGAAAAAATGTTCCACATCACTGGTCATTCGAGAGATGCAGATGAAAACAACACTGAGATTCCACCTCACCCCACAAAGAATGGCTGCTATCAAGAAATCACACAATAACAAATGTTGGCGGGGTTGTGGGGAGAAAGGAACCCTCCTCCATTGTTGGTGGGAGTGCAGACTAGTGCAACCACTATGGAAATCAATATGGAGATACCTCAAAGAGCTTGGACTGGAGGTTCCATTTGACCCAGCCATCCCTCTGTTGGGTATCTTTCCAAGAGAACTAAAAGAATCATATCACAGAGAAGTATGTGCACCCATGTTTATAGCGGCACAGTTTGTAATAGCTAAATCTTGGAAACAACCTATTTGCCCATCCGTTGGAAACTGGATAAAGAAGTTGTGGTTTTTCTATAAAATGGAATATTACTCAGCCATAAAGAGCGAGAGAATAGATTCATTCATAGGAAAATGGATACATATTGAAGATATACTCCTAAGTGAAATAAATAAGTCCCACATGTGTAAATACCAAATAGTTTCCCTGGTGTGAATATTCTGCAACAATGCATAAGATTCTAATAAGATTACTGACATTTAGAAATGGGAGGAAAGGAGCTAAAGGTGTAGGGAAGGTGTGATACGTAGGGGAAGAACAAAAAGGGAAAAGAAAAAAATGTGAGAGAATGAAAAGATGAAAATAAAGTGTTTGTAGATGGGGAGGGGAGGAGGGGGTGAAGGGAGGGCAGAGGTAAGGGGAAAAAAATGAGAATCAAGACTTGCCATGTAAAGGTACATGATCCCAACAATGAATGTAACTGTACTGTATCCCTAAATGTACCAATAAACTCAATAAAAAAAAAAGATTTAAGAAAAGCTGAGTGTATCACGGCCCTTATTGATAATACATCACCATGATTTCAAACATTTTACCACATTTAACATGCCAATGTAAGATATTAAGAAGAGGGATACTCAGATGTGGGTTATCCGCATACCCTGGAGCACCTTTGCAACTGTCCTGTACCACTAAAAGTACTCTGAAATTAAGAGTGTGCTTTGAGTGAGCCTGGGTGATGCAAAAGGGGAAATGATCTCGAATACTGCAGAGGATGTCAAGGAATTTAGATGATAAGAATTGTGGAAAATAATTGACAGATTAAATTATAAGAAATAAATATATTCACCTTAAGGAGTCCATTAATCCAGAGAGATGGTAGATGTTTACGGCAATTTTACATTTTTTCTGTTGTTTTCTTTTGCTTGCTTGTTTGTTTGTTTGTTTTTTGGTACTGGGGATTGAACTCAGGACCTTGAGCTTACGAGGCAGGCGTGGTGCCACTGAGCTACATCCCCAGAACAAGGCAATTTTCGTTGCGCTTGGTTTCTTGCTTTCCACCAAAAGATATGAAATTACAGATGTTTCTATGGAACTCATTTTTAATATAGTATTTGTTGCCATTTATTTCAGGAAAGTAAAGAAAGTATTTTGCAAGACTTCAAGTTTAACTTTAATATGTTATTCCTCTTAAATTTCTGTGAAAACATGAATAATGTAAGTTTTTTACATTATATAAAAATATAATATTTGCCTAACTTCTCAGTCATATACATTTTGGACTTTAAATGTTGCTTTTCATAAGTGCAGAACTATGGTTCTTTCATATATTAGTAAGTTTATGCTGCCCCCATATTGTCAATTGATAAAGTGAGTTATAGGATTTCTATTAATGCCGTATTCCTTTGTTGGATGGAAAAATTATTTTGGTAGTCTTTTAAAAATGATTATTGAATAAGAAATTAGATTCATTCATAGGAAAATGGATACATATTGAGGATATACTCCTAAGTGAAATAAATAAGTCACACATGTGTAAATACTGAATAGTTTCTCTGGTGTGAATAAACTATAATAGTACATAAGATCCTAATGAGATACTTGACAATGTGAAATAGGAAGAAAGGAGCTAAAGGCATAGGGAAAGTGGGAAGGGTAGGGGAAAGGTAATAAGGTAAAGAAAAAAAATAGGAGAAAATGAAAACATGGAAATAAAGTGTTTGTAAATAGGAGGGGAGGAGGGGATGAAGGGAGGGCAGGGACAAGGGAAAAAAATGACAACCAAGACCTGTCATGTGAAGGTACAAGACCTCAATGATGAATGTAACTGTACTGTATACCTAAAATGTACCAATAAACTCAATGAGAAAAAAAATAAAATTATAAAAATAATTATTGTATCTCTTTGCTATAATAAAAACACCTTATATATTACTTAACAGACATCCCATAATCGTCACGGCTGTGCTCGATGTGTCAAGTTGGTGGCTTGCAGTCCCCTGGGGATGGGGCAAGCACATTTTTGGGTATGGTTGCGTGGATCATGAAGATATGACCTTGGGTACCACATCTGCTCCATCGTCCCTTCCTTTCTGGCCTCCCAGCCTCCATAAATTTAGGAGATTTACTCCTCTGCTCCCTTCCAACATGATAGTTCTGCCTCGGAGCCAGAAAGCCATGAACCGGCTTCCCTGAAACTGTGAGCTGGTTGCCAGGTATTATGTCTCACCAGTAGCAAGGCTGACTAATCTAGAAAACTGGTTCCAGAGAAGTGGGGTCTTTGGATAACTACACCTGATGATGTGGTGTAGAAGTGGTTTCTGAGTACAGTTTTCTCATAGCTTAATAGCAAATTGGAACATTGTCATTCATTTATTCTACATTCATGGGCAAAACATGAAAATAATAAAAATAAAAGCTATCTACGACTTACAGACTTTACCAAGCTTGAACATTCATGATAGTGTGGGAATTATTTGTGATCAGGTTAGTGGTCAAGCCATAATTGCCTTATTTGAGAAAATATCTCAACAAAAAAAGTTCAGTTTTAAAATTTGGTCCTTATTAAAACAGTTTCCTGTTTCTTTGGGTTTTCATTTGTTTGTTTGTTTTGCCCTTTTTGAGTTTTAGGGATCTCTTTTATACCCTATGAATATTTAAAATATTGGTGAGCAGTTGTTAAGCATATTTGATATACATGTGTATATATACATATCTAGCTAGATTCAGTTAGATACATCTGTACACACACTTGTGATTTGGAAGTAAAAATTTAGAAGTGTTTAACTATCAAACATACTTTTTGACCAAAAAATCATCAGTACAGTTGAAGCATCATTTAGCAAAATACATACATACTAATTATTTTTTTATCCATGCACATGGCCAATATGAATGAAATATAGCAAGACTTTAGCCACTTATCTGAACAAACTTTATTTATTATTTTTATTTTCCAAAACATTGATAACCTGGACGTCTACCCCTACTACTGCAATTTTTAAAAATTTTTACAAGAACCAGTGACAGATCCGTTATTAGCATCCAGCGTTCTGCACATCATTTTGCAAGCTGTATTCCCACATGACCACGGGTCTGCTCACACCAGCGCCGCCCCACGCTGATACCGGGCTGCACTGAGCATTCCGGTGGCCCTGACGGCAGCAGCGCGGGACTCGGCGCTTCCATCGCCTTGTGAGAGTGCTGCCATTACGCGGTCCGGCGCTACCGACGCACCCGTGTGTGTGGCAATCCCTGTGTTACAGAGTGCTTGAATATCAGTTCACTAAGGCTGCTTTAACGAAGTACTGCAAACTATAAATGAGAGATAGTCACATCGGATTGCATGCCCTTTCTCCGGGGATGGACTGAAAGCAGCATAAGAACGTCTCAACACTGGGATTCTGGAACGTGTAAGAACGGAGAGAAGTTGCCCCATCTGTGAGTTCAGCTTATCATTGAAATCTAGACGTTCTACGAAGGAGACATAAAACAAATTCCGCATTGCTGGTAGTCACATTTAATCAAAGTAGTGTATTTTGCTATCTCAAAATATTTCACTGAAGTAGAGATTAGCATCTTATATTGAATTTTTAAAAAATATTAAAACGATACTGGATGAAAATAGTCTTTTGACAAAAAACACGGTCAACTGTTTTAATACATTTATCTTACTAGATGGGGCTGAGCCATACAGGTGACTCTGAATGCTGTGTTATTCACCAATTTGTAATTTTTTCTAGCTTACTTTTAA